GGGGGGGGGGGGGGGAAGGGTCACGGTATAGGGTAACACAGATTCCTGCAATCGTTGCTGTAGGTGTTGGGGGGTTGGCAACAACCGCTAGTAAGACCGAAAATAACGTGACGCGACACCAGGAGGGATGATTACACCGACGGTCTCTTTCGAGAAACCAACCAACCATACAACACACGTCCTTCCTCCTACGTACCTCCATTTCCTTCATGAGCCGCAGGACGTACTTCCAGCCCCCCGGGTGGTCCGCGAAGGCCGACATCACGGAAGAGTAGTGGATAACGTTGGGGACTACAACACCAACAGCACCAGCGCCCCCCTCCCGCCGCCGCCGCCGCCGACGGGGAAGAGCAGGAGGCGAGGGAACGGCGGGAGAACCGGGAGCTCCGCTGTCGTTCGCACCGGCGTGGTTGCTCCCCTTCCCTACCTCCCGGTCTCCCCCTTCTTCCCCCACCCCGGCTTCCTCTTCCACCGTCTCCGCGACCGGCTGGACGTCAGCCTCCGCTTCCGCCTCCGAGGCGAGCTTCTGCATCTCTCGCAGCACGGCCAGGGCTCTCTCCGGCTTACCGTCCTCCCGACAGGCCGTGATGACCAGTGTGTAGGTGATCGAGTCGGGGGCCACGCCCTTCTCGGACATCTCTCGCAGCAGGGCTGCCGCCGCCTCTCCTGCGGAGGGCGCCGCCGGCTTCAAACCATTGACGCCGTCGTCGTCGCCGCCGCTGCTGCTGTTGACGTCATCGACTTGCTGCTCCCCCGCCCTCCACCCGCCCCCGCGGGTCATGCTCGCCCGAACCTCGCTGCCCGTCTTTGGCGATGCCGCCGCCTTGATCGCCCAGTTGTAGAACTCAATGTTGGGGGAGATTTCCCGGCTGCTCATCTCCGAAACCAGAGCGGCCACCTTGAGTTTACGGCAGGGGGGTGGCTTGTGATTCTCGAGGGCACATGGCGGACGTAGAACGGCTCGCGCGCTGACGCCGCCCGTGCCATGACTACAAAAGCACAGGAGTACAATAGACACTCCCATCTTCCAACGAACTCAATCTCAAACCAGGCCGTCTAGAATACTTCTGCGGAGGCGACACACGTCGCTGCCCACGCGAAAGAAGGACTTCTTTCGGCAACAAACTGCAAGTGAAAACAAAAAAGCAGCAGCAGGAAAACATCGGACTTCGTTCGAGACTGACACATGACTACACAACATAACGAACCACCAGAGCCCCCGCCCCTCTACGCTCTTCAATAAACGCTTTGCATGTCAGCATGGAAAAAACGCGAGGCAAGCTGCACCGACAGCGCCTCTTTTCTCGGTCTAGGCCTCCAGCTCGAAATCCGCCCGCAAAGACGTCGAACCAAGCCCTCTTCAGTGCTGCCTGTTCTAACGGTTTCGGCTTCTTACCATTTATCTAGCCACGCTGACCTGCAAAACGGCTGGATTTCGGATTCAACAAAGGTTACTTAAGGAGAGGCTAGTCAGCGCTGACCTAGTCAGCGCAGCGCTGACAATTAATTCACTCCGACGGTTCGAGTTCCGCTTCCAAAAAGTTACCGACAGACTGTTGGTCAGCGGCGGCGACTAGAATGATTTCGTTTTCTGAACCATCTCACCTGATCCCACTGGTGAGCTCTCCCGCAGGCCTTGATCGCCGCCACGAAGTGGAACGCGTTGAGCGAGACGCCGCTCTCCGGCGCCTCCCTCAGCAGGACCAGGGCACGTTCCCACTGGCCGCCGTTCTTGCACGCGTTTATGGCGGAGGTGTAGCTCTTGGCCGTCGGCTGCACGCCGCCCTTCCGCATCCGGCCGATGAGCTCGGCCGCTGCCTCCCCGGCCCCGCGGTTGGCGTACCGCCTCAAGTCTCTGTTGCACGCCTGCAGGCTGCCCAGGGCTGGTGGTGATCCCGCTTCCTTCTGAGACGACGGCTTTTTCCTCCGGCTTGCTGCTGCTGCTGCTGCTCCACCGCCGCGGGCCTCCTCCTCCTCCTCCTCCTTTGCCGCCTCCGCTGTTGCTGCCGGTTGCGGTGGCGTTTTCGGACGCCGTTTCGCCTGTTCCCGCCCCTCGGTCTTTGCGGTCGCCGGGGGCGGTGCTCCGTCTATCCCTCGCAGCATCGACACCAGCCGCTCTGCCTCAACATCGCGGCCGTTAGAAGCGTCGTCTTTGCTACCGTCGACCCCGATCCCGCCCTTGTTCACCTCGGCGCTACCACTACTACCGAGGCCAGATCGCACCTCATCGACAAGCCTGTAAGTGTTCTGATTCGGGACCACTCGCTTCTCCGACATCTCCGACACCAGCTCCTTCATGGTCTCCCACCCCTGGGTGGGGTTTTCGGCGCCCTTCGCCGCCGCCATTGCCCCGTGGTAGTAGGAGAGGCCGGGAGCGATGCCCAGGCTTGCCATTTCTGACTTGAGAGGAGGGATCTGACGGGGAGCGACCGACGGAAAAAAAAAAACGCAGCCGGGGAATGGACGAGGTTTTAGGGCGTGTTGCAGCGAGAGGCCTCGTTTGTTCGCTGGGAAGAGTTAGTTGTCTCGCGATGCTTTGGTCGTGTGCCGGATGGCATGCCCAACCAACCATGCTCACCCATCTACATGTTCTCTGAAGCGGCGAGGACAAGAGAGAGAGAGAGAGAAAGAGAGAGAGAGAGAGACAGGTGGACAGAATAGATCCGTGAATTACGCCTCAATGCGGACCTGCTCTTTCCCGACGGACAAACACCACCGCCCTCCCTCTCTTTCGCGCGCATCACAGCCGCACCGACAGCGAGAAGAGAAGACGTAACACTGCAACCCCGCTCACCTGGTCCAACTGACCGGCGTCCGCGCAGGCTCTCAGGACACCAGTGTAGTGAAACGCGTTGGGGGTGATCCCGCCGCCCCCCGCAGTCTGGGCTTCCTTGAGCAGCTCCAAGGCCTCCTTCCACTGGCTCGTGCCGTTCCGGCAGGCGTTGATGGCGGAGGTGTAGCTCCTTTCCGTCGGCGTCAACCCTGCCTCCCGCATCCGAGCGATCAGCGCGACGGCCTTTTCCCCCTCCCCACGCTTGGCGTGCCTTCTCAGCGCCCTGCGGCACTCTTCCGCGAAACTCAAACTCGGGCCGCCGGCGGCGGCAGTCGCTTCTGCAGCTACTGCGCCATCACCACCGCTGCTGATGCCGACGACACCGTCACCGTGTCCTTCGTCTCCAGCGCTCTTGCCGCCGTCGCCGTACGGCGGCTGCGTCTGCCGCTGCTTCCGCCGCCGCTGCTGCCGCGGACGCCGTCCCCTGGGCGCGGCTTCTGCTGCTACCCCCGATCCCGATGGGCTATCATCTTCCGGGCCCCCTTGCGGTGGCGGGCTACCGCTAGCATCGCCACCGCTCGAGTCACGAGACGTCGCTAGCGCACCGTCGCCGCGCACGCTACTACTACCCGTGCCACCGCTACTAGCAACAATAGCGGTGTCGCCGGCAAGCTCTTCTGCCACCCCTTCGGCGGCTGCCGCCGGGGTCGTGGCCAGTCCCCGCCAACGGTGGCCACCGCCGCCGGCGAGATCGATAGCGGCGCCGGCGTGGCTGCGCTGCTGCTCGGGAACCGCGGCCGCCGCCATCGCGGGAGTGGTGGCTCGTCTCATCCTCGCCCCTCCTGCCACTGCATCATCCGGTCCCGCTCGCCTCATCCTAACAACTCCCGCTCCCGGTGTTGCCGACGAAGATGCGGCGCGCGAAGGCCTTGCTGCTGCTGCTGCTGCTGCTGCTGCTGCTCTGGTTGTTGATGTCGGTCTGCTGAGACCGCCGCCCCGTGCTTGTGCTGTCGTGGCAGCGCCGCCGCCGCTGGAAGAAGGCGCAAGGAGGGAGATGCGCCGGGAGGCTTGTTGGGCCAGCCCTTTCGCACCCCTCGCGCTCGCGGCCGCGTTGAAGCGAAACGCCATGCTGCGCGCTTCGTCCTGTCTTCAGCAGCAAGCAAGGCTTAAAAGCGTGAACGGCGCAGACGGTATCAAGGGGCCCAGCAGCAGTGGAGTTGCGGGTTTTGTAAAGGCGTTGGAGCACACTGGACTATCACCGGTAAGCTGCTGGCGCAACGCGTCCACAAGCTCACATCGAAGCATGTGGGCAGTGCCGTGGTCCAAGCGTGCGTACCGACATGTTCACTGAAACAGCAGCAACGGGATTGGGGGGAGTGCGGCAGGCGTACATGCGCTCTGGACATCTCGTCTGCCTACATCGGAGGTGCGGAAACCAAGACGGGAGAAGGACTGTGAATGATGGGGGTCATACCACCAAGTTCGAAGCACCGAGTGTCTCGCCCCTGGCTGTACTTAAAGGCGACAGGCGGGCAGTGTAAAAGTCGCACCGTGCCACAGAGCGCGCTACACACCAGATGGCTGTTGCAACGACGAGCATGAAAAACATGTGTGCCCATACTACAGACTTCGACGCAAGGGCGTAATATACGGTCTCCAACCATCCGCTTCCGTGTAGTGAGAACTGCCGACTGCGGCACTACACAACGCTGCTACTACTGCCGGGTACTACGATCGTGGGTCATGCGCAGTCCAATATACTTAGTAGAGTAACACACAATCAAATACAGGAGTAAATGCGCACACAAGTGGTCAGGTCGATAGGAGTGTAGAGGTGGAAAACGCCAAGGCGCCGCTGCTGCTCAGCTACTACGCCGCCGCCGTACGAAGTGTCGCAGCATCTACAGCAACTGCAGTGGCGCAGGTTACAGTTAGCAGGCGACAGAGGTCCCTTCCAACGCCAGGCACGAGGGAAGGACGCGGTCCAAAACAGCCCACTGGGTGCCACAATGTACCACATCCCCCGGACCGATTTTGAAGAGCTCGACGATGCGTTTTCGGGATGCTCTCGACGAGACGGCTTCAACCGTTTTCGCCGCCTCCACCCTTTCTGCTCTGGAGAAGTCGAGCTTTGAGAATCGGCCTCGGGGGTGTTAACAGCTACGTGTATGGTACGGGAGTGCATGAAGTCCTCACGGGTCCCAGCTACTGCTGTAGTATTTTTTATCTGTACAAATATCCAACCAGCACTTTTGCCCCCAGTATTTTTCCCTACAGCAGTAGACGTGAACACCGCTGAGCTCCCCTTGCACCCGATTCATCCACGCGCACACCTCGAATATCCATGATAACGCCTATGACGCACGGAGCATGGCTTCTTGGCACGCATGCATGGCACACAACGGCCTGGATGTACGATGTTCACACCCACCACACACCTTTCCTCCCGTCTCTCGTTGGCAAGAAACAATTTGCTGCTGAGCGGGAGTGGCGCAAACCCAAACATGACACCTCTCACCTCTACGCTTATCACCGCCGCGTCCTTCCAGCCTCACGCTGCTGCTTTCATGCCCCGATGCTGCCCCTGCTGCTTTGTCCTGATGCGTTGTGTCGCGGCTTGGTCCAGGGTCCACCTTGGCACAAAATGCCTGCCGGCAGCCTGCCGTCGGTATACGGGACTGTTAGAATTCACGTGCTTTGCATGCACGGAAGGCCGGTGATTCGTATTGGATCTTCCGACCTCCGACACCACTGCGATCTGCCTGCTGCTGTCCAGTATTCTTCGCACACCGTGCACACACATCGTGGAGATGGTATACTGTACCTTGGCGGTCCTCCTGCCGGGAAGGCTCCCCACCAGTTGATGTGTGCTGGCTGCTGCTAAGTTTTTCTGCGATTTGACCTTGTGTGTGCTTCTCAGGACCAGTACTTCCACATCCCCCTGCTCAGGAGAGCGCCGTCTAGCTGAGGATTACACACTTCGACCGATGGCTCCTCGAGTGAAACACGCTGGTCTTCCAAAATGTCGGCCAAGGACCCAGAAAGAGAGGAAAGGGAACTGAACGACAACTCATTTTACCTATCCATTCGTGAGAGTGCTCATGCATGTTGTCCCTAACTTGATACAGCCCACCGAAGCTGTGCACTTCTGCTGCGCACCATCACGTTGCGGCTGCCCGGAGGGGATGGGGGGACTAGGTCGTGACGCACACCATCAAACACGGGCGCTCTCTTAGCACCAAGTACCTTGTGCTGGAAGGCATCCCTCCCCCGGTGAGCAGTCCCGTCGATTGAATTTACTTCAAATTAGTGTTATTTCACGGTACGGTCTTCTTGCCATAGTCTACATGCGAATGATGAGTAAAGGGGCTGCAAATGGGGAAAGCCCTCGCTCTGACGAGGTGCATCTCTTCGATTCGGCCGGCCTCTGATGCGGTGCATCATCTCTTCAAAATCGATCGCGAGAGGCTTTGGCAACACTCTCTTCCCTCCTAAGCGTGGCCCAAAAGCACTTTTGCCCCAGGAAATCGACGGCCAGACACCTTAGATATTCGCATTCCGAATCGGTAACCATCCAACTGGTAACCACAGGCTAGTTCTCGTTGGGCAACGGCGACCAACCCTTGCATCCTAGTTGTGTTCAACACAATCTCCAAGGCATTTATTTTGCCTCTCATTCCCTTCCCGCAGGATTCCGAGGACCCCAAAACAACACACATCCAAAATGATCCACAGGTAGGTATGGGAGCAGCAAAACGAAGCAACACATGCAGTGACAGATATGCTACCGCGTATTTCTGGTCGAATCACCCTCAGAGCACTTCGTCCTCCTGCACTTGCTCTTACGGGCACACCAACACAAGGGACAAAAAAAGACAAAGACACACCACAAAAATAACAGGGTGGCGAGAGAAGAGAAAACCACGCGAGACAAAAAAAAATAGATACATAAGCGTCGCGCACATGTACTTGAGAAGAATCATGACACGAACAACAACGTCTACATACTATAATACCCCGCCAAAACCACATGAGGCTTCTCCTGACTTGGTGAACAAGGAGAACAAAACGAGCACCTCATACGCTCCTCTCGCGCACGGCATGCTAACCGGTGGAATGTGGGGCGTGGGCTGCTACTGCTGCGTTAGGAAACCACCAGGGCATTTCAGTGAGGCGTCTCACACGGTCCTTCGTCGCAGCAGAAGACCTTTACCAACACTTTTAGAAGGCGGAATCAATCCATTAGACACGTCCGCCACTGACTAGTCAAACGGCTTGATTTCGCTTTCTCAAGACCGAGTCCTCACGCAGCCCCACCATTTACTCGAGAGATTACTTCTTGTCTTCACAACGACTGGAACGGCTGCTGGTTCTGGTGCTGCCTGCGATATTGGCCGGACCACACCGCCGTGGGATTCCGAAGCTGCTCAATCTCCGCCGGAGAGAGGGTGTCCAACACCTGCCGTCGGGCACGTTGGGGGGGGGGG